CTCTGTCAGCGAGAGCCACAAGAAGCGGAAGCTGGACTAGGGAAGGAAGAGACCCACAGGTCTTCGTGTGTGCTCACCTGAGTAGTTGGGTGAAGCAACGCGCACTCTCCCTTCCGAAAGGTGCTGTGATTTGGTGGGTTGGCACAGCAGCCGTCCTTCTTTCGCGCACACGGCCCTGACTCTTGAGCACGAAGAGGCCGACGCTGTGCATGATCCCCGCTGCGCACCAGCAGAGATGTGCAACTCGGAATGTATAGCAGTGCTGCCCGCAGACAGCAGAATCTCAACTGCAGACAGCAGGGCCCGGTGGGTCAACGCTTCTGGAAAGCTGGAGATCTGCAGTGAGTGTTCGTGCTCTCTCTTACGTGATAGTGAGGGGTGGGCTGCGTGCGAAGAGGGGTGTTGAGGAAATGATACGCCCGCAGCTCGCAAGAGCTAAGAGAAAGGCGTACCCTAGCCCAGACGAATTAAAAGTGCCGCGTACACCCGAGGGTTTGGAGCTAGGAACCCTATACGATCGCCTCACACACCTGGCGTCTTCGGACGTGTTTGTGCTGTTTGTCAAGCCTGGCTCTTAACTCTTGACCCGCTGAAGCTAGTCACGTTTCTTCAACATCGGACACGCAACAGCAGCACGCAGAGGGCAGACACAGCATACAGGTGGATATGCAATGCGCTGCGAACGGCGGCAACATACGAGCAGGCACACAACATCGCACACGCGCCACCCCAGCAACCTGAAGGCGGCGTGCGTGTGTGCGTGGTGCACCATGACTCCATACGTACAGCGCCCATTCCCAGGTGGCCAGCCAGTGCAGATCGACCAGTTACACACAAACACGCCCGTATAACAACCATCCCTCGAAAAACCCTTTCTGATTGCGAGCTTTTTTGCGAGCTCGAGGACCAAAGGAGGAGAGAGTAGACAAGCCTCACAAAATGAAGTTCGGCAAGCGTATTCGCGAGGCCGCCCGCAAGTCGTCGGGCCATTACTACATCGACTACAAATCACTCAAAAGACTCGTCAAGCGCATCAGGACAGCAGTCGAGTCAGAGCTGCTGACTCAGACGTGCGAAGCGCCGAGTGATCCGTCAGCCGCTATGCACCCGGAGGGAGGACACACGCTCAACGAAGCGTTCGAACAACAACTCGAGCTCGAGATTCAGAAGGTGACGAGGCAACACGCCAGTGATTCCTTTGATCACCCTCTTGTGCGTATGTTCAGGTGGAAGACGACTTCAGGAGGGCGCTGTCGGCTCTGCAGGCCCGCTATGACCGGCTGAAGGCCCGGCTGGACCAGCTGCACGCCGACAGCAACTGTCTTCCCCCGCACAACCACACCGGCAGCAGCAGCAGCAGCGACACAACAGCGCCGCCGCAGGCACAGCTGTCAACCGAGGTCGTTGGCGACTTCGATCAGTTCCTCAGCCTCCTCACGACCTCTGGCTACCCCCAGTGGTGTCTCGATCTTTTTGGCGAGATACGTGACTTGTCGCGGGCTTTCGACCAGCTCAGGAAAGCCGTCGTGTGGAACAGCATCGCGGTTGCCAAGATCCTCAAGAAGCGGCGCAAGAACACCCCCTACGGCCACACGCGGCAGGCTTCCTACTACCTCTTGACGCGCGAGTTCTACACCGGTCCGCAGCTGGCGGCCCTTGTGACGGGGCTAGACTGCATGGTAGAGGAGGTGATGCTGCTGGTGACCGGGAGACCAATCAACCGAGACAGCTATGAGTGCCCCATCTGCTATGAGACGCTCAAATCGCCTGTGGTTCTGCCATGTACGCACACAGAGAGGAGGGAACAGGGGATGGGATGACTGAAGTCGCGCATTCCCTGGTGTGTGTGTGTGTGTGTGTGTCAGGTTCGCACCGATTCTGCCTGCGGTGTCTGGCCAAGGCGGCGGAGAGCTTCGAGGCCTGCCCGCTGTGTCGGCGGTACATCGAGCCTGAGCTGGTGACCGTGGATGAGGGGCTCGAGCGGTTCGTCAAGAGGCACTTCCTCGCGCACACACACATACAGCTGCCACCGCCACGTACGCGACAGACAATCTGCAGAACACACACACTAGGAAACCATCACACACGCGGGCACACGCTTCTCTTATCTGTTTCTCTCACCAGGTGCAGTACGCCAATCTGCCGCCACTCGAGCATTCGAGTCGATATCGTGGGTGCCGTCCTTCATCGTCATGGCGGTGGTGCGCGTTTTGTCCTTCATCATGGCTAGACTCCTCATCGCGCCGCTCACCGCACTCATCGCCATGCGCCCATGGCACCACCAGCAGCGACCAGCCGATATCGACCCAGCCAAGCAGGACAGAGGCGACGCCGAGACCGAGATCGGCCCTCCCGTGCGTCTGGCCGCCCACCGGCCCTCCCCTCTGACCCTGCCAAAGGCTGCGGTTGCCGATGGCGGCAATGAGCGTTTGGTGCGCGAGTGGCGCGTGGCCGAGAGCCCCTCACCCCCTCGCTACGCCCACCGCCACGACAACCGGACCGGCCAACGAGTGTCCTGGAAGAGCGACGAGAACGAGCCCACCACGCCGCCCAGCTCCCATTCCCCGCCCATCCTCATCCACCGATGCACCAGTGGGCGTGAGGGTGGCGAGCCAACCTCGGCGAGGAGCGCCGATCCCCATGAGGGCGTGAGCAGCCCCAGCGAGAAGCTGCGGTGGTTTGTGAGCCGCCAGGGTCTCGAGAAGAGGGGGCTGCGGCGGTACCACACCAATCCTGAGTCGGCCAAGGTGCGTGTGCCGGAGGGTTTGGCGGCATCGGATGGGGGGGTGTCACCCAAGTATGTGTCGAGCGCTACGCCGCTGATGGAGGATAGCGCACAGGTACGTAGCTGCGACACACAGCACAGCACACGGACCACTGGTTAGTACTCATGGGTGGACACTCTTGTCTCTCTCTGTGCTGTGTGACGTGTGTGTGCAGCCATGGAGCCCCAGCACCCCGACAGAGCAGTCGCCTCGCCGGATGGTTCACCGGTCCGCCTGCCACCTCCTGCCTCCCACCCACCCCTCCGTCCACTCAGAAACGGACACCTACCACTCCTGTCTGTCGGCATCCCCGTCCATCCACTCCAACCATTCTCACCACCACCATCAGCCGGCCATCATATCCTGTGTCAGCAGCGTCGCGTCGATGGACGGCGAGTGGCCGGAGGGGCTTCCGTGGCCGCCGGTGGAGGGCTGCGTCACGAGCGATCAGCAGTACGCCATCATCAAAAGGCTCAACTACATTCTCAGACATGGCGCGCCACACCTGGTGAGAGAGCGAACGCATGCTCCCGCCGACATCTATCGGCATCATATGGGTCTCTCTCTCTCTCTCTCTGTGTGTGTGTGTGCAGGGATTGCCGATGCGCGAGGACGGGTACGTCCGTGTGTGTGAGCTGTTGGCTCTCGAGGAGATGCAGGGCGTCACCACGGAGATCATGCAGGAGGTGGTGAAGACCTGTCACAAGCGGCGGTACGAGGTGCGGGAGGACGCCCACGAAGGCCCGCTCATCCGCGCCACCCAGGGGCACACCATCCGGCAGCTGCGGACCGACAGGGCACTGCAGAAGATCATCTCACCGGAGGAAATACCCGTCTGTGTGCACGGTGAGTGGAGTGAGTGAGCAAAGGGCGGCATACCAGGACATGCACGCACAGCAGAGCACAATGGGGTTGTGTGTGATCGCTTCGGTTGGTTCTCTGCTTCAGGCACGTACATGCGGAATTGGCTGGGTATCCGACTTCTGGGGCTGCACCGCATGAGCCGCAATCACATCCATTTCGCCCCCGGGTTGCTTGACGCCCGCGAGGTAATAAGCGGCATGCGTCGGTCGAGCGAGGTGGCCATCTACATCAACACACACCAGGCCATGCACGACGGCATCACCTTCTTCCGGTCATCCAACAACGTCATTCTCACCGAGGGGCTGCAGGGCGCACTGCCGCCCAGATACTTCTCCACAGTCCGACAGCTGCAGGTACGCTGGCTGCAAACAACTAACTAAAGGAGTTGGGAGCGGGAGAGGGAGAGAGACCTCTGTGTGCTGTGCTGTCTGTGGTCTCTGTGTGTGTGTAGTGGGATGTGGACCTGTGGAGGGACGGCGTGGACCTGACTGAGCAGTACCTCGATCGCTTGTCGGGTGATGGTGGTGGGGTGCAGCCCCATGACGGCGGCCACGGCCACGGCCTGCCTGCCTCGCTGCCACCGGCCGAGGAGGTGTTTGTGAGCCAGCTCAAGCAGGAGGTGGAGTCGGTGCACTCCAGCCCTTTCAACCCGGGATTCATCGCGGTCAGTCAGTCAGTGCAGAAAGGACCGATTGATTACGTGTGTTTGTTGTGTCTTTGTTTGTTGGTGTGCGCCATCAGGTTGTGAACAGTTCGTTGGCAAAGGAGGTGGACGAGCTGGTGCCGCTGGACGATGACTGATTGCATTGCGTGGCAGACAGGACAGACAGACAGACAGACAGATGGACCGCGACCGGGCGAGGGCCCACTCGTTTCAGTCCACTGCACTGTGTACGTGTAGACAGGCAAGACAGACAGACAGACAGACAGGTTGGTTAGTTGGTTGACGGGCTATTTGGGCCGTCCTGTGGTCACTTGGTTCTTGCTAGCTGCTGATACTTACACCTACCGTCCGCACGTTCTCCAATCGCGCTCACGTCGCCATCCAAGTGCTGCGTCGTCGCCATCTCGCGTCGCTGCGGTGCTTGGATGCGGGTGTTACCGCTCTTGGAGGTGTGCGTGGTGCTTGGACAGCAGAGGCTGGTTGTCGTGTCTGTCGATCGGTGGCTGTCTGTCTGTTTTCCGTAGTAGGTGCTGTGGCTGGCTATTTTTGTCGTGAAACACTCATGCCATCCTTGGATGATGTGTATGTGTATATGTATGTGTATTGCTGGCCGACAGGCTGGCTGGCTGGCTGACTACCCATTTGCTCAAAACGCTACTCGCTCTCTCCTTCCCTGCCTCCCTGCCTCCCTGCCTGCAGAAATACCTGACAGGTATCTAACGAAGGCGCGATAGTCAACAGACATGGACGCTTTTGCCTTTCTCGCTATAGGGATGTTCCCTCTGGGGTGGTTTTCTGACTCGCCGACAGACGCACAGACAGAGAGACAGACAGACAGACAGACAGGCACTGTTTGAACCAACCATTTGAGTGTACGATCGCGACCGGATGGATGGATGGGTGGGTGGGTGGGTGACACGCATTAATGAGGGTATTTTTCTTGCCTTCTCTTCTTGTTGTTGTTTGTGTGGCCGTCGAGCTGCGACGCCTGTTGGCTGTATTGTATAGAAACAAGCAATCGGATCGAATCTGTTTTGCCCATATGTACGTATATACCTACTTGCTCATGCTTTACACACATGTACACCCATTATATATTATCCTATCGGTTTTGCTCTGTCTACCTGTCTGTCCGTCTCTCTCTCTCAACACTAACACTGACTGCATGGCGAGAGCCGAGCGAGTAGTGAGTGATTGAGCGACCATGTCACGTTGTCAATTCATCCTACCATCCTCTCCTCCCACCGCACCCTTCAGTGCATCCATGAGTGTACTATAGGCCACCAACCATCCATCCATCCAGACAGACAGACAGACAGACCCGACAGAGAGAGAAAGGAGACATACTACACACAAGTACTTGCTTGCTGACCTGCAGCCTTACTGTCATCCATCCCATCATGTGTGTCGGTTTTGTTTATGGTGCGTGCACTTGGCTGACGAAGGATTGGTCCCATGTTTCCTAACGTGACATGACAGTGTGGCGTTCGGGCAGGAGTTCCGTTAAACCTCGGCTCGAGGAGTCAGAGAGGAGCGCAGGTTCCTCCGCAACGAAGCAGCTTGAAGGGCCGGTTGCACTCGACATCAGCCACCGACGCATCGTCACTCAGTGGATCGTCACTGCTGCGCCAGTGCTTCGTCACTCTCCCAGAATCCGAGCGGATCTGTCACATGCATCAATCTTTCCGAGAATGAGCACATCCCGGGCTTTTGTCAGCCTCTTGCTGATCTTGCCGCTGACGGCTCTCGCCTTCCGCTTGCCCCGTCCCATCGCCAAGCGATTGTCGCACTCCTCCCGCCCTCCCACAAGACAGCCTCTCGCACAAGAAACGGCCACTCCCACAGCAAACGACGATGTGCAGTCTCTCAAGAAGCCGCCTGACATCGGCAGGCACAGTGCTTGGACGTATTCGGAAGGCAGTCATTCCGGCGCGTCTCGTGAGGGCCATCAGCCACTTGGACAAGGACGAGACGTCATATCAGAATCAGGTGCTGGAAATGTCTCGGGTATTGGACTCCTTCACCTTTTGCGAACTCAGCAACGACTACGACTTCTACGCTGGGTCCATACTCGCGGCCTTCGTCGGACAGGCGATGTGGAGCAGCGGCTGGGAGGAAGGCTGGACTTGCATGTGAGTG